GGGGAGAGGTGCTCACTCTTCTGTAAAGAAAAAAAAAAAAACTCACCTTATGCTCTGTTAGCAAACCCAATAAACTCATTAGGATTTTCAAAACTAAAAAAAAAAAAAAGTGAACAGAGCTGGGGCTGGAGAGATGGCTCAGCTGTTAAGAGCACTAACTGCTCTTACAGAGGACCTGGATTTGATTCCCAGCACCTACATGGTGGCTACAAACGGTCCTTAACTCCAGTTCCAGGGGAATCCAAAGTCTTCTTCTGACCTCCGAGGCATTGCACAACACAGGTGCACTCACATCCATGCAGAAAATATACTCATACACATAAAATAAAAATAATAATAAAAAAAATTAAAATAATCTGCTGGGCTCTGCCTCCCAAGTGCTGGGATTGAAGACATGTGCCACCATGCCTGGCTTTGGTCTTTCATTTTTCTGTCTCTACTTTTCCACCTTTAAACTTCACTGTATATGATTCTTATGTAACCTCTGCTTCAAGTTATTTCTGGAAAAAAATGTGTTAAAAATTGCCTCTCTTTGGAGTAATAAAAAAAATTTTAAAAATTAAAAACTGGGTTGAAGACATGGCTCAGCAACAGTTAAAGCACCAGCTGCTCTTGCAGAGGGCCCAAATTCAATTCCTACCACCCACATGGCAGCTAACAACCATCCATAACTCCAGTTCCAAGGAATCCAACACCCTCTTGCATGATGTGGGTATACTTACATACATGCAGGCAATACACTCATACACATAAAATTTTTTAAAATTGTCCATATTTGATACCAGTTAGCCATTTCTCTTACATTCCTAACAAAGGAAGGAAATCAAAGTAACAATATGCCCCCCACCAATTACCCATTCATTCACAATGCCTGCCTAGATATCTCTAAATCCAAATCTCTATCAACAGCTAAGGAAACACACTCTAGACTCCAATCACAGCTTTCTGCACATCTTCACCTGCTGAAGAACCTTCATGTGGTGACTTGCTGTGGAAAAGGCCAAGCCTGTTCTCCATACCTACTTTCCAAGGCCTTCTGCAGAATGAGATTAATCTACCCCTATAAACTTGCAGATTCTCTCTGACCGCTTTCTTGAGTGGAGCTGCTCCATCAAGTCTCCCTGGATTCACATGCTGGCTCAATGATTTAGCTATACCACATTGGACAAGTTATTTAACATGAATCTCAAAAACTGCACATGAAAGATCTAGCCTTGACCTTGATATATATATGGTAGCCTACTATGTCATAAGAAGAAGTATTTTGGAAAGGATTAGAACATAATAAAGAAAGAAAAAGAGGCAAGGTCAAGAGTTTCTATAAAGGAATCTGCTCACAGGTATCAAAATATAACATGCACATACCTTTTAAACTATAAATCCACTTCATCCAGTCTACCATAAAAGGTAATTAAGGGCTGGAGAAGTGGTTCAGGGGTTAAAAACACTGGCTGTTCTTGCAGAGGACCTAAATTTGGTTCCCAGTACCCTCATGGTGGCTAACAACCATCCATAACTCCAGTTCCAGGGGTTCTAACCCCCTCTTCTGACTTCTGCAGACACTGGACACATGGGTGCATTTATATTCATGCTCACAAAACACTCACCCACATACATTAAAAATAGATAAATCAAAAAACCTTTTTAAAAGGGTAATTGAACAGAATGAGGGTGTGGATCAGTTGATAGAGTACTTGCCTAGCATGCACCAAGCCATGGGTTCAATCCCCAGCACCACATAAACCAGGTGTGCTGGCACATGCCTGTAATCTCAGCACTTGGGAAATAGATGCAGAGGAATTAGAAGCTCAAGGTCATCCTTGGTTTATAATGAGTTCAAGGCCAGACTGTGTGTCATGAGACCCTGTCTCAAAAAATAATAATTGAATAAGGAAGAAAATATGCAATCACAGAGATTTTCATTACAATACTATTTTGTAACACCTAAAAATTCAGAAACCCATGTCAAATAAGAATGAACCAAGACTAATGTGTAAATAATATGTAAATATATGCAACTAGACCTGCTCTCCAGTTGATGAGATTTTTTACAATGTTTTCCAGAATGGATTAATATTAGTTACCAGAGTCATGTGTCTTTTTACCCACAATCAGAATGATTTTTTAAATAATTTTAAAAAGGAAAAAGTACAGTTTCATAAAAGGTGTTTTTCCTAGATTATCAGGTCAAATTAGCATTTTACTGTAATGGGTAGATCTTCAGTTTGGCTTTTAAGACTAGCCAGTACCCCAAATATCAGAAAAATTAAGATTAAAATGAAGTAAATGAAATGAAAGGCTTACTTTGCATGAAATCAGACAATGCCATCTTTTTACTCCATCTGCATACCAAGAACAGAGCTCTGTCGTCTGGCCACAGTCTTTAAATTAATCCCAACCATTCATGTTCCATATGAGCACTGAGCATGAATGAAATAAAAACTATGGGCTGACACAACTCCCTCTGATGCTTTCTCACATGTTCAGGGCACTGCTGCAACATTGTAGCATCCTATCCTGCCACCAGAGTTGTGGAAGCAGGAATGATCTAGAAGAAGGCCGGCTAAGAACCGCTAAGAACGGCTTTTATGTTAGGGACATTTAGTTATTTGAAAGTTTTAGTATTTCAAAAGTAGCTATATAATAAAAAAAAGTCAAATCACACAGAAAAGTAACAATTATCCTCTGAAATCACATTATGCATAGTAATGATTACCATTAACATTTAGTGCTTGTGATGTTTCACTTTTGTTACAGAATTTATCTTTGGGAGCCAAGAAATGTGACAGACACCAGAGAATAGGAGGCAGGAAGACCACTTGAGCCCAGGAGTTTAAGACAAGGGTAGGTAACATAATGAGACCCTTGTCTCAAAACCAAAACAATCTGTCTTTAAGGAATTAATCATTTCTCACCTACTATGCTGGGAATTAAAATTAAAATGCATGTTAATCAGGTATAGGTCCTGTTATAGGGGAATGAACACCATTGAATGCTGTTAGTGAATGCAAATGTATGTGTTGACACATTGGAAGACAATGTGACAGAGTCTGTGTGTTATGGACCATGAATCTATGTACTCCCAAATTCATATGTTGACATTGTAATTTGATTGCATTGCACTGTATTTTTGGTGCTGGGGTGGACCCAGGGTTTCATGCATATGAGGCAGGCAACAAACCACTAAGCAGTTTCCAGCCTGTATGTTGAAACCTTTACCCACTACAGGAAGGTATTAGGACAACAGGCCTTTGGGATAATTGAGTTTATACAATGCCATGAAGGTGGAACCTAACCAAGGAATTAGTGCCCTGATAAGATGGGAAAGAGATTACAGCTCATGTTTTCCACCTTGGGGACTAACAGAAGTCACCTGAAAAGCAAGAGGGAGGCCTCCCCACACACTGCCTCTGCTAGTGACTACATGTTGGACTTCCTAGTTTCTAGAGCCATGAGAAATTAATAAGTGTTGCTTAAACCACCCATACTATGGTATTCCAATTACAGATGCCCAAACTAAGATACTATATAAAACCAAATCATACATGTCTTGAAAACCAGTCATATAATTCTTTAAAATTGACATATAAGGACCATTCACACCATAAAATTTACTTCCCTAAAACTGTACAATTCAAAGGGATTTAGTATATCCACACGGTAATGTGGTGACTGTGGCAGTAGCGGCACAACTGTCACGTTTGTTAACATTCATAGAACTCTATAGTAGGAAGAGCAAATCTGATTATCTGTAGATAATCTTGCAACAAACATGACATTTAAAAATTCTACTTAGAGCTAGGTGGGATGGTACAGGCCTTTAATCCAAGCACTCAGGGGGCAGAGACAGGAGTATCTCTATGAGATAAATGCCAGCCTAGTCTACAGAGTGAGTTCCAGGCCAGCTGGGGCTTCAGGAGACACCCTATCTCAAAAAAAAAAAAAAAAAAAAAAAAAAAAAAAAAAAACAGAACAACAACAAAAAAAGACCTAAAAATTATACTTAGAGATACACATATCACATAAGAAATCATATGCTTCACAGATGTTATATTCTCCTTTAGAGCAAAGAGAAACTAAATAGCACCTGAATGTCTAGTTAAATGTCTAAAGAGGCAGTAATAATAAAATGTAGTGCAGATTGAATCTTATGCAGAGGAAGAAGCTAGTTTTCTATGGAAAACTGATAAAGTTCTGAAATGGTATAGTATAAAAAATAAGTGTACAATAACTTGAATGGCATAAAATCTTGTGTAAAAACAGATACACAAGAGATGAGAGAAATGGCTCAGCAATTAAAAGCACTGGCTGCTGGGGCTGGAGAGATGACTCAGGGGTTAAGAGCACTGGCTGCTCTTGCAGAGGACCTGGGTTCAATTCCCAGCACCCACATGGTGACTAACAACCACTCATAACTCCAGTTTCAGGGACTCTGACTTCCTCTTCTGACCTCCTCGGTCATTGCACAACATGGGTACACTTACAGACATGCAGGCAAAATACCCATACACACAAAATAAAAATAAATAAATCTTTTTTTTTTTTAAGATACACAAACTACACTTAAGATGCTTGGTGAGTATATGTGCAAGCACCTTCCTATGCATGCTTGAACTCAAGTCCAGTGATGGGTTTACATACATGATGACACCAAGCAAAAGTATTTTCCTTATTTTAAACTGTGTTGAACACCTAGAATACCTTTAAAGGTCAGAAGAATATTCAACAAATTGGAATTCATTGCCTCTGCAGAGTTAAAAAAAAAGAATTTGGAGAGGTGGTCAGAAAGGAGTTCAGTTCTTTCCAATATATTGAAAATATATTCATCTATTACTTGTTTGATTTTAAAATAATGTGAAAAAAATGTGAAATATGTATGTGAATCCCTGCACCTAAAATACCAAAACACACACACACACACACACACACACACACACACACACACACACACACACACACTCGACAGACATAGACATAGACAAACACAGAGGTGATCTTACCAATTTGGATTTTCTACACTTTCTCGGAAGACAGACTCTTCCCTCAAGGATGCATACTGTGTCCACGTGAGGCAGTGACTTCGTATAGCCATGTTCCTTTCCTGAGGACTAAGCCATGATTCCTCTTCTAACTGGATAGACGGTATCTTTAAAATGCTCACCTGTCCAACAGAGAGAGGATGACTTTCTGAATTTAGGAAGAACAAGCTACATAAAGACTGGACCTGCTTGAATAATAATGGTCTTGAATACTAAAGAGACAATAATGCCTCACCAATGGCCCTCAGTCTTTGATAGTCAGACACACCATGACCTCACTAAGTGTGAGGAACTTGCAAATAGCCCAGGATTTATGTAAGCTGTTCAGTCCTGGCCCAGTTTCTTTAACTACTAAACACTAAGCAAATTATCAGTTCTTCCCTGTGTCCTCCAGAGCAGCCTTCCGAGTGGATGGATTCTCCTCAGGCCCACCTACATGCTCACATGCAGGGCAGTATCAAGCAAAAATATTTTCTCCATTATAAACTCTGTTCAGTCCCTAGAAATGGATGCCTTCCCAGGTAGAAAAGACACGGAGAGCTACAAAGGCAGAATTGTACACATGAAAGCCTTAAATTATTTAAGAATTGAGATACAAGATGAAGTTGAATGCCTTTTTAAATAATAGATTTAAAGTGTATATATAGGGCAAAGGCAGTGTAGGAAGTTTGTGCAATGGCCAGTAATAATTTTCTGCTACAGTGCAACACATCTTACGATCTGGAAAAAATTAAGAAAGGTCATGGTCATTATCATTTCTTTCTAGTAAGAAAGTATCAGTGTTTTAACCCACAATGAGGAATAGGTAGATACTGCCATTTTTCCTATGTACGAGCACACCAATTTAATTTGCAAGCTAATCTGAAGGAGCCAAGCTGCATTCTGTATCACACAGAAAATCTCTTTTAGGTACAACCACTTGAGACATGTTTAAACTATCATCAGGATGTTCTCTCCTGCTTTCCTAATATATCTTAAAAGACCCCCATCAAAAATCCTTTTACATGATTAATGCAGAGACTCATAACTGTTCAAGGTGACTGTAGTGCCCAGCTGTGGATAGGGCATCTCTGTCAACAACCCCAAGGCTCAGGAGACATTACAGAAAAGAGGGAGGAAAGAATGTAAGAGCCAGAGGATGGGGAGGAGTGCTGTGGAATGCTTTCTCAGGGACATGACATGGCTACTGCATTCATGAACCAGCAGCTGTGGTTACTTGCAAAGACCTGCATAAGGTTAAGCCAGTTAAATATTCAAGGACAGCATGGGTGGAAGAGGGCCTACTGAGATGCGACCCTCGCTGAGGGCTATTGTCAGTTGATGGCTGCTGGAAGAAGGAGAGTCACTTTCCTTTTGGGGGGAGGCTACTGGTAGGTTACTTTTGACCTAGTAGATAAGCATACACCCATGCACTAATTGGACTCAGTGGGTTAAAATTAATAATAATAATAATAATAATAATTAGTAATAATAATAATAAAAGGAGATGAAGTTGTTGGGAGGCAGATGTGTTGGGGAGGAGTCAAGGTTTGGAGGGGGAGTGGGAAGTATATGATCAAGATACATTGTATAACTATGAATTTTTCAAAGAAAGAAATTTTTTTTAATTTTAACTCTCCTACAGTCAGGCATGGTGGTACATTCCTGTAATCCCAGCACTTGGGAAGCTGAGGCAGGAGGATTTCCATGAGTTTGAGGCCAGCTTGATCTGCACAGTGAGTTCCAAGCCAGGCTTGCCTGAGTTAGAGTGAGGGCCTATATCAAAAAGAAAAATCCTTGTACAGTTGAAGCCATGAAAATGAAGTTTTCCACTCACCTCCTTCCAACAAAGAATCACCAGAATGCTTGGGGGTTTCAAAAAGAGAAAACAATTTTCTATTATGAAGATTTCATCGTCAGTCTCTTATTTTACAGAAACACACACCAAACAACTTACATAGGGCACTGAGAGCATTATGCTCTCAGAAATAGCTATTATTTATGACAGTGAGTTAGAAACAAAAGTGTTTGCTTCCTTACCAAAAATGAGACTAACACAATCTTCTCACTTCTAATTGTTCTTACCTAAGAGCCATTTCTGCTCATGGACAGATTAGCAAAGGCAGTCACTTCATGCAAAATGTCAAAAGTATCCATAAAATAATCATAAATATCTCCATGCCCATTAAAAGCCTTTCACAGAAGTGATGGAAACAGAGACACAGTATCTCCAGCAGCATCTGCCAAAATTGGAATGGACATGAAAGAGATCTTTTTTCCCTAAAAAACTAAGAGATTGGAGAAGCAAGATATTCTAACACTCCTTTGCAGAAAAAAAAAAAATGCTATCTTTTTCTATGACTATTAAACTTATTCAATTTTATACTATGATTAAACTCTGAAATGAATTTACCTTCCTTAAAATTTCTGGAACCACATTCTGACAGATAGCAATCCTCTTCCTATAGATGAGTCCTGTTAATTCATCTAGAAAAAGAAAATTTTATACTCAAAAAGAAATAATTCAGAAAAAATGTATTCTTACCTAAGTCCATAAAACTTTTAAAGTCAATTTCAATTTTCAATATGTAGAATTCTTAGAGATAAGGCTTAACTCAAAATTTAGTTTTCCAGGAGCTGTAGAGTGGTTTCAAAGGACCTGAGTTTGGGCAGCTCACAACTGCCTGTAACTCCAGCTCCAGGGGATCCAACCCCTCTGGCCTCCATGGGCACATGTACTCACATGTACACACAAATTCACATGAAGATACACATATATACACACAATTAAAAATAAAATTGGGGGCTGGAGAGATGGCTCAGCAATTATGAACACTGGTTGTTCTTGCAGAAGACCCGGGGTTCGAATCCCAGCACCCTGATGGCAGCTAACAACTGTCCATAACTCCAGTTCCAGGGGATCCAACAGCCTCTTCTGACCTCCATGGGTATTGGACGACACAGGTCACTTACCTACACGCAGGCAATACAAGCAGGCAATACACGCATACACATAAAATAAAAAATAATAAAATATTTTAAAAATAAAATTGTTCAAGAAACATTTCAGTGTTCCTGATCAATTTCCTGGGCCAAATCACAAATGTTCAAAGAATAAGGGCAAAACAGAAATTCATAACACACATGCTAAAGTTAGGGAAAAAGAACCACAAACTGGCCGTTCCTCTGGATTATCAGTATCAACCCAATCATCCCGTGATGGCAAAGGCCAATGGCCACTTGCTCAACAATAGAGTGGGAACAGATTCTGCCGCCTCCTATACCACACTGTCAAGCATAGATTTCTGAATGCAAAATTTAAACTAATTTTAATTGTAACTAATTAAATACATTAGTCATGTTCTTTATAGAAGACTATAGAGGAACAGAACCACCTGTGACCAGAGCATTCCATTCTGGAGGAAAGTTTCGGAACAGAACCAGGAAAGTTAAAATTAATAAGAATAATTTTTTAAAAGATGGGGAGACAGCTCAGTCAGCAACAGCACATACTGCTCTTGCAGAGGGCCTGAAGTCAAGTGGCTCACAACTGCCTGGAACTCTAACACCAAGGGAATCCGACACTTCTGGTCTCCACAAGCACCTGCACTCAGTTGCACATACCCACACTCAGGCACACACACCTACACATAATTAAAAAATAGTAAAATATACCTTTTTTAATTATTAAAAAATAATCAAAAATTTGAGTTAAGAAGAAAGACAGAAAAAAAAGATAAAACTGTGTAGTGCTGCCATTGTGCTATGAATTATTAAGACTCAGCTACAATGCAGAGCTTCTCTGAGCTCTGACTACAGTAGTCCCAAGCCTGATAGAAACACCCTGATTATCCGGAACTGGCTGACAGGAAGTAGAAGATCCACCCAACGGCAATCCTTCAACCATCTCACCTTAATATTTGCAACCCATGTGCAAAAAATGGCGAGGCAAAGGTGACAACCACAGAAACAATCAATAGTCCTACGCCACCTCGGAATATATGCATTATTTTCTCATTTGTTCTTCATAGCAACCTGAATTAACAGGATTAGTCTACCATCTGATAGATCATGAACCGGAGTCTCTAAAAAGTTAGGTCATAAGGGAGTAACAGAATCAGGACTTGAAAGTCAGGTTTATCTCAGGCCAAATAACAAGCTTGTCCCATACTGCATGTAGATATGTGAGAAAATGCTTTAAAAATCTATTTATGGGGCTACAGAGATGGCTGAGTGGTTAAGAACACATACTGCTCTTACAGAGGACCTGAGTTTGATTCCCCACACCCAGGTTGGGCAACTCACAACTGTCTATGTCCCAGGGGATCTTCTGGTCTCCAAGGCCACCTGCACCCTCCTGCACATGCCCACAGACACATACATATAATTAAAAATAAAATAACTCTTTTCTTAAAATCTATTTAAATAGTTACAGATATGCAGAAAATACCCTCATAAACAAGATAGCTTTGTGTTCCAAAGCACAGAGGGCGCTGCAGGTAACCACAGCAGCACCTTATTGTTTCTATGAAAGTTGAAGAACATGCTGGAACAGGCTCTGGGTGTCTCCACAGCTGTGCATCAACTGTGTACATCATCAGATCTTCTGGCACTGCCCACTTCTCAAATTCAAACATTGACAATCACAATGCTTCCACTGAGGAAGGGAAGGCAGAGAACAGGGGGCTCTACCCCTGGGCTGGAGCACATTCAACACTTTCTGAAAGGGGTCACATGGTAAATAATTTAGGTTTTTGAGCCAAAAAGTCTCTATTGCAAAAATACTCCACTCTGTTATTACAGAGAGGAAGTAGCCATTGATAACATACAAACAAATGGGGAGTGGACACCAACCAATAAGCTTTATTCACAAAAACAGCAACATGAGTCATAATTTGCTCATAAGCACTAAGCACTAAGGCCACATTGCACCAATATGCTGGGGGTTTTTTGTTTGTTTGTTTTTGTTTTGGGGTTTTTTTGGGGGGGGGTAGGGTCTCATGTAGCCCAGGCTTGTCTTGAATTCCTGATTCTCCTGCCTCCACCATTCAAGAGTTGGGATTACAGATATGGGCCACCACACCTAGCTTCAATTGATGTTTTGCCATCTACAAATCAAAATGTGATAAGGGATACAGCCAGGGGACTTTGGGCAAGTTAGCCTCTATGAGCCTTGGTTTCCATATTCATTAATAATTTTAATGCCCACCTCAAACAGTTCTCTGAAGGTTGAATGAGTTAATAAAAGAAGCTGACATACACTAAGTGCCCCAATATGTTACCTGTTATAATTATATGCAGCTCAGTTTTGCCATCAACTATTAATTTAGAAAGTAACAAAAGTACTGCTTGAGATAACAGACACACATGCACATACACACATGCCTATACATACATGCACACACATTCATGCACATACACATAGACACAATGTTTACACAGGCATTATGCTTAATGATCATCACTGAACTAAGGGTATATTTTAAGAACTTACCTTTCTTTTCTTCCACGATTTTTACAGAGATGACATTTCTATCCATGGGATTAGGATACTAAATGAAAACACATAAAGAAAAGTTAGGATTCTCCTTTGTGAAAATGAATTGACTGATAGAAACAACAGCTATTTGTAGAACCAGTAAATATCTGCCAAGAAACCTCTAGGTAAAAGCCAGTTTTAAATCTAGGATCTTAGTTTTACCACTTAGGTTCAAACACGTTAGATACCTGGGCCAGCATGAAATCCAGAGGAAACCTTTATTTAAATCCCATCTAGCCCCGAGCAGAGATGAGAATGAGATTAAGCTAACTGATTAACAATAACAACAATAATAATGCTATGGGACCAGTCTAACATAAATCAAAAACTCTCTCTATGGCACTCAGTCACCGTGCTATATGCTTTAGCTACACAATCTTACCTAAATCTAACAGCTAGTCTATTGGGAATGGGTTACAGGATATCATTATCCCTAGTTTTCAAAGTGGAAACTGAATGAAGATTGGCTTGGTCTGTCATCCAGCTGGTTCCTAAAAGGCAGGGAATTAAGCAAGCCAGTTCAACATGAGAGTATTCCTTTACTCCTGTCCTGGACTATGGCCTGGTGCTGGGTTAGCATCTCAGAAGAATCATCAGGAGACTATAGTATGTCATGGCAGTTAAGAGCACTGACTGCTCTCACGAAGAACCTGGGTTTGATTCCCAGCACCCACATGGCAACTAACAACCGTCTGTAACTCCAGTTCCAGGGGATTTGATACCCTCTTCTGACCTTTGTAAGCATTGCACTACACAGGCGAACTTGTACATGCAGACAATATGTTCATACACATAAAATAAAAAAATAATAAAGAGTATAGTATGTCAGGCATATAGTATGTATAATTTCTTTTATTAAATTCTCCTGAAAGATAATTTTGATGTACTAAGGTTGATAACAGCTACCACTTTTATCCTAGTCAATTTACATCAATTATCTGTTAATTCTCAAAAGCATTCCATTAAGTTATATGATATTTTTTCCATTTCATGTATAGGAGAGAAGGTTTAGGTAAATTAAATAACTTGAACAAAATGGCTAATAATTAATGCATCTGGAGAAATGTAATTTACCCCAAATACAGTCTGACTGCCCCCACGTCTACCATGATGTCACCTCAGAGTTACTCTAGCTCAACCCTTCCACTACTTAGGAGTGAAGAGAGGGGGTGGGGGGGAGTCCTTCAAACCACAAGCTAAAGTGGCTGCTGACGGGGCCCTGATGTTCCTTGGGTTATCTGCTTGCCACCCCCACCCCCTCCGCCGCCCCAGGTTCCCAGCTTCATCTTGTGATCAAATCTTAAAAAGAAATGGAATCTTAAGGTAATGACAGAAACCAAGAGTAGTGCACCGGTGGAGGTGGGGAGTCCTTCACCTAGAGAGCTTGAGCTCCAGGACTCCTAAGTCCTTAGACATGCAATATAAAACTCAATCAGTATAGGACTCAAAGAACCAAAAATAAGAATAAAACTCTTTAAAAGCATTTCTGCACACATTCACTCATTTCAGCCCTAGAAAGAAAAGCTTAAAATTACAATGACTACCTTTTTGAAATTTAGCCCTCTGGAAATCCATGTCCATAACCGAGGGTTGGATCAGGGATTCTGTTCCTCAGCAAAGGAGACTTCCCTTTACATTGCACCCTGGACAGGAGATATCTGAGACCCATACAGCTCCCTGAACCAGATGAACAGGTGTGTGAATTAACCTTTGCACACTAATTTAAAATAAAATTCTTTACTGTATTCTAGCTTGTTCATTACCTATCCATAAACATATCTTGAAAGTTTCAGATAAGCTGTAAACAAATTGTAGGAAGATTCGTAAACTAAATTATGAAGAATAGAAATGCAATCAGAAGAGAGACACAGTGATAAAAGTTCAAGTTCCAATCACGTCACCAAATTGTCAGTGAAATTCCTATAAACTAAACAACTTTACACTTTCGCTTAATTTTAATATTTACTTATTAAGACAAAGGATATTTGTTTAATAGTGAAAATGCTCTTCTTTTGTGTTTCGGGGATAGAGCAAGCTAGAGATAGATTGATAGCATGCCACATTGCTGTTCCAGACACCTAGGACATGGTAATGAAACAAAAAAAAAATCTGTAGCTTCTTATAGAGTTTGCATGTTAGTTGGAGAAACAAACAAAAACAGAAAATAAAGATGTCAGATCTGCTCAAGAAAAAATAAATCAGACTTAAGGGGTGATGGGAAATCATGGAAGGTGCAATGAAACATACTTAAGGGTCATTCATTATACAATCCCTGCACACAGCAATAGGAAAATGGAAGTCTTATTAACTGAACACAAGGGACCATGAGCTATTCACTCTAATACTCTAATAAATATCATTTGCAAATTTAAGTCATTTTCTTATACAACTGCTCTGGAGTTGAACAGATATAAGCCTCAAGTTCCCAAACAAGAATGGTAAGAGAAATTAGAGGTTTGTGTGCAATCGCTAAATACTGTAACATGAATGGCACATATTTTAACTCTTTTTAAAAATTAAAAATGTATTGAACCAAGGCTTCCTTTACCTGGCATTACTTAAAATGATATAACACCATCTTGTGGTAACTTAAATACTCATGTTCTAATTCACAAAAAATGTATGTAAAGCCCAATTATAAGGGGTTAAAAGAGGGAAGGCTGCTCAGAGATGATTGCTACTGGTAACACCAGCCTGGGGAAACAGGGAGTAGCAGTCGAGGTTTTCTAGACCCCTGTTCAATGACTGTGGATTTGATTCAACCAGATCTATACTGTGTCCATGTGGGGCATGTTATACAGTGGCTGCCCACTGCCCACTCATTTGCTATTCCTCCAAACAAGGACATGTATTAACAAGTATTATGATATGGAGTCTTCTTGCTAAAAATCTCATGTGTAAATCCTGCAGACAAACAGACAGGCAGAGATCCCCCATCCCCACTCTGCACTAGAGACTCTCCTGAAAGCAACATGATCTGATGACCCAGTTTCTGCCAAAAGCCCTTTCCTGAGCATGGCTCAATGACTACATGTACTATACTGTATCAGTGAGGTTGGGGGTTTCTCAGGATATATTTGACTTCATTTTGATTTTACTTACAATTTCACTTTCTTTACAGAATGTGCAAGCTAACTCCTTTCCTTTCCCAAGACATAAATCTATTTCAAAAATCACTGCATGTTTTGTGTGTGACAAACAAAAGTAAAAAGCACACGGTCCTAAGGTTATCGTCCACCCCTCCTTTCATTTACATTTTACATATTATAAGAGGCTAAAAATTGTTGAGTGGAGTTATCCCACGCGGGCTGATAAAGCTGCTCCCAGATGCCATAGGTTATTAAATGAAAACCCCTGGGTTGGCTATCTTTCTACAAGACCCAGCAGGGGCCACCAAAATAATCCAGGCAATTGCAACTGCTGTTGGCTGCCCACCAGACCTAGACAGTAAACCCTATTGCTAAAGACACCACATACTCTGCTCTAAGGGCACTGAGAAATCAATCTAGAAGTCAGCTGGAAGCTTCTTCCCTGCTGGCTAACCCTTATGGTTCCAGAGGTACTACACAGACTACTGCTAGAACTGTCATCAGTAGTCCCAGCTGTGAACCTTACAAGCTATATTACTGACTTGTCAGGTGAGAGACACCCACTGATGCAATACTGGCAAGTCTGTTATGGGGATTACCAACCACTTTCTGATTGGATTTGAGCCCTGCTTCACAGGAGGGAACTCGTGCCTAGTACTACACCTGATCAAAAGCCTGTGGCTAGAAAGATCATAGTCCTAGTGGGGAAGCTACTGCAGTGATTGTGTTAAATGGAGATAATGTACCCATCAAATTACTTTCTAAATAATTGTTTATCCTCATAGATTAGTGATGTCAGCTTTGATCAGAGAAGCTTTTTTTCTGCAGTAGATGGTGATAACTGCAGAGACATCATTGGTCAAAATTCTGAGAATAAATTACTATTGAATGCTCTGCCCTAAACAGGACATCGATATGACCTCTAAAAGGGTCAGGGAACACTGGGGAAGAGGGGGTAGAAAGAGTGTAAGAACGAGAGGAAGAGGTAGAATGTTGGGGAACCCTGTCATCCACACATGACATGGCTGCTGTACTCTTGAATTCACAGGATCTGCGATCACCTACACAAGACCTGCTCAAGTTTGGGCCATAACTTCCTGTCACTGAGGTGGGAAGGGCTTATAGTACCCCACCCTCCCCTGAGAAATTATAAGCAATTAACCGTTGCTAGTGGAGAAGAGCTCAAGAGGCCCCCTTCCCTCCCTGAAAATCTAGAGGCAGGCAATGGTTGCCCAGGGACAGGGACTGAGAGAGGAACAGACAGTTTCTCCAGTGTTGTAATTACTGATAAGATACCCAAGCTCTTGTAAATATTGTAAATAACCCCCACCCATGCTCCTATAAGCAACTATAATGAAACTCATTGGACTCCCAACCCCCACCCCCCGACACACACACACACACACACACACACACACCATGAGAAAGGGACTGAGTAGGAAAAGGAAAGGGATCAGTGGGAAGGGAAGGGGGACAATAGAGAGTGATGGAGGGAAAATACAATAAAAATACCTTGTGTGCACGTATGAAAATGTCATAATAAAACCCATCTGATGCCAGGGATAGAGAATGTAATTTAAAACAAATACATAATTACTCAAAGTGAGAGACCAAGAAACCAAGTCCATCTATTACAGGAATAACATTTCATATACATGCGGGTCAAGTTTCATGAAGATACAGCATCTACTTTTGTTTGCTGAGGGGAAGTTTATCACTCAGAAAGCATACTATTAAGAATAAGGAGTTTTTAAAATAACAGCTAACTGGGGGCTGGAGAGATGGCTTGGCAGCTAAGAGCACTAGCTGCTCTTGTACAGAACCGGGGTTTGATTCCCAGAACCCACATGGTAGCTAACAACGGTCCATAACTCCAGTTCCAGGGGAATCCAATGCCCTCTTCTGAACACTTTGGGCACTGCAG